AATTAAAATATTGTTTAATGTTTTCTTCACACACATCATATTTATGGGCTAAACATTTTACAGTAGTTGTTTTTCAGTGATAAAATAAAAATGAAATACGTTTTTTAACTGATCAGCGGACAAAAAACGTAGCTAAGAAAGATCCTTTTGCCTTGCCTTCATGCTCAAATCTCGAAGCAAAGGCCGTTGTGTAGCGGTCTCAACGTTTGTATAAATACACTAAACTTTTCGTGTCGCGCGGGTTTGTGTTCTTGTCTAGTTTTTCCTTGATTGCTTGCGGTCAGAGGTATTTGAATGTTTGTAAATAAACTAATAATAAACTAAAATTTTCGTGTCGAGCGAGTCGTTCTTGTCTAGTCTTGTGGTCGGATACGGTACTACTAGTACTACTGTACTACATTTAAAACATATTTTAAGGGGAATTCTTTTGTCGTCTGAGGTTCTCCTTAACATTGTCAAATTTTACCTTTACGGACAGTATTTTTTATTATGGAACTGTTTTTACCATCTTCATTGTTTTATGTTCCCCATGGCAACCCTTTCACCAGGATTTTTAAAGAATGGTGAAATTTCAGAAAATGTCCTCAAAATGTTAAGGGTGGTGCACAAAATTCTAAAGGGTGGATACAAACAATTTCTATTCTAGTACATAGCAAGTGACACGCTAAGTCTGTAGCAAGTGACACGCTAAGTCTGTTTATTGACCTTGCATTTAAATTAATATTTTTTTTAAGCGTGGTTCCAATATTTTAAGCATGGCGTATAATTTGCCTTTTTAATATTTTTATTTAAATTATGTTGTTTCTGTGAGTATCCTACGTAAAAAGATATTTTATCTGCCATTAAAGATCCTAGTTAATCGTTTTTCATATTATTAATTTATTTACATAACAAGAATATTATATTCTTGTTATAATAATGATTTACTATAAATATTGTTTAACATTTACGGAAATAAATTTTGTTTAATGAATGAATAATTAATGCACTTGACAACAACAACTAGGCATCAGTTATTATTTTTAATGGTGTCTACCACATATTTCTTCTTCAATTATATACAGATACTAAATAAAAGCTCCATTGTACAAGTATATTTATTCAGTTTGTTTTCAACGTAGTACTATCAGATTGTTTTGAAAGCTTTAATGCAGTCACTATAACAATATTCGAATTTCACAAATTTCGACTTCTGGAGGAATTCAAAAAGTTAAAAGTGAGGGGGAAAGGATGGAACGGAGGTTGGGGGCTGGCGTTGGGCTAGGAGAGGGGGATCGGTAAGAGGATGGTTAATGGAAGGATCCTGTTGGATGATAGGGAAATCCTTCCGAATAGAACCGGCAATAGTTCGGTTGAGGGGGTGATAGTTTAGGACAATGGGGATACGATTATTGTTAGAGAGCTTCGGCTTGTACTGGAGGAGGTCTTTGCGGGGTTTAGAGTGGGCTTTCTGTATCTGATGCTTGATTAATTTGAGAGGGTAGCCAGTAGCTAGTGAGATATTTACAGGTAATAGCTTGAATATGGTGAGTATATATATATCACCCCATTATTCTACTGTCATCATATTTATATATGTAGGACTGGTGACTGTCCTTGTAAAATGCAATATGCGAGGGTTATATAATCCTAATATGGCTTATGCCGTCCTGTATATTGTATATACAACCAGATTACAACAGTTTAATTACTATACTGGAACAGCCTCAAACGCCGGGAACCAGCGTAGATTTTTAAACCAATTTCTAAATACGCCATTTTGGAATTCATCAGAATTGTGACTGTAAACACACGCATTTACAGGGTTTTTTGGATTCAAAATAGTACGTATACAGGTATGTATATCATGCCTTTCTCTAAATTTTAGACTTATATTAACTCTCATGCTTTAAAAACATTAAAGTTCAGTCAACCTAGGCCTAGACCAAGGCCCTCGGCATATTACGTAGTTTAGGCTTAGATGAACAACTTTCGGCTCGATCATGTGTGTGAAAAAGCTGGGCCTCTGGCTTAGGGGTGAAGGGCCTAGGTATTTAGAATTGCCAAGAGGCTCCCTACTTTGAGTGTCATAGTGGGCCCCCCTAATAGTAATTCCCTGGTGTTCTATTACCTCAGTGCAGGCCTATTTGAATTCACTATTTCTACTACACTAGCCTCCTATATTAGGCTTAAGGCCTACTAGGCCCTAGTGTATAATATAGAGCCCTATGTAGACACAGGCCTCTAACCCAGGCATAGCCTAGACTCGATTTTATTACAGAGGTTCTAGGCTAGGCTTCCCCCTCCCCTCACTTCCTCCCGTCCTAGACTTGACCACCTAAGCCCCACCATAGTAACTTTGAAAATATTGATAATTTATTAATAAATTTTAATCATACAGGTATGAATGTGTCATCTGCTTTGATATTTTTAATTTATTCTTCTAGGCCTATAACATTTTTAATAGTATTTAGATATTTACATTGATAATAATCATAGTAATAATAATAATAATAATAATAATAATAATAATAATAAAATAATAATAATAATAATTAATAGTCATATTTAAAAAAAAACTGTAAATCAGATATTGATCATTTTAGGGATGTTCTTGTTTGCTTGCTCACTCCGCACCTAAAGTTTACAAAATAACAAAAAGGGAGAAAAAAAAGGAAAATTATACAAGGATAAAAGAATACAAAAGTGATAATAATAATATTAGTAACAATAAAAGTATTATTATTATTGTTATTATTATTATTATTATTATTATTATTATTATTAATAATAATAATAATAATATATCATCCATTCGTCCATCCATTTACTCACTCATTCTCTCACTCATTTACACTCACTCATTTTTTTTTACTCATTCATTCATTATTTTATTTATTCATTTATTCACCCACTCATTCAAACACTAAATTATTCATCCATTTATTTATTTATGCATTCATTCTTTCATTTAATCATTCATTCATTCATTCACTCACCCACTCACTTATTCATTCATCCATTCATTTATTCATGCATTAATTCATTTATTTACTAACTTACTCACTCACTCATTAATTAATTAATTCATTCATTCATTCATTCATTTTTTCATTCATTCATTCATTCATTCATTTTCGTTTATTCATTTGATTTTATTTATTCATTCATTTTCAATTATTCATTTTTATTCATTTATTCATTCATATTAATAATTATGGTTATAAAACAAATGTGTATTTTTTTATTGGAACTAAAAATACTATGTTTTTTGGAACAGTTGCGGATTTAAAAGAGGCCCAGCTGGCCTGGTCCCCACCTAAAGTTAACAAATTTTAAAAAAATGGGGAAAAAGGGAAATTATACAAGGATAAAAGGATACCATAATAATAATAATAATAATAATAATAATAATAATAATAATAATAATAATAATAATAGTAATAATAATAATAGTAATATTCCATCTATTCATTCATCCATTTACTCACTCATTCTCTCACTCATTTACTCTAACTAATTTTTTCACTCATTCCTTCTTTATTTAATTCATTCATTTATTCACCCACTCACTCAATCACATATTCATTCATCTATTCATTTAATAATGCATTCATTCATTTATTTATTCATTCATTCATTCATTCATTTTTATTTATTCATTCGATTTTATTTATTCATTTATTTTTAATCATTCATTTTTATTCATTCATTTATATATTCATATTTTCATTCATTCATTCATAGATTACGCTATGCTTTAATTATGGTTGTAAAACACATGTGTGTTTTTTGAATAAAACTAAAAATTTTTAATTTTTTGAAACAGTGGTGGATTTAAGGGCGAGCCCAACTGGCCTGGTCTCCACCTAAATTTTTCAAAATAACAAAAAAATAGGCAAAAAAGGAAAATTATACAAGGATACACTATTGATAATAATAATTATTATATTAGTAATAATAAAACTATTAATAATAAAACTATTATTAATAAAACTATTAATAATAATAATAATAAAATACATTTAAATATATTTTGAGAGTGCTGAGAGTGCCATTTCCAATCATCTAGAGGTGCAATAATCATAAATATTCTCGCCTTAGCCAAAACCGTGGTGGGGCTGATGTGTACAGACCCACAACCTGTGGATTGGTCCATCTCTGGGCCCTCTCTATTTCAAATTTCTGGATCCGCTATTGAGTGGGTATGTAAGTTGTGCCTAGGCATGGCACTGCTAAGGTAGCATCTGATCTAACAAGGATTATTGATACTATATATTAATTGATAAAAAAAAAAATCACCTCCCAACATAACTATTTAATTTTAAAGAGGTGATGCTAAACAAGTATTTTTTTATTTGGCCTAATTTAATTTAAGGTTTTTTCTCCAATATTTCAACATAGATGGTTATATATTATTATGCAGTAACCTTGGCCTTATGATGTTTTTGCGCACCTAGGCCTACCTCTCTACCAGCAATTTTGTACACAAATATGAGTTATATTACTTCTCAGTGTAATCCTGCAAATTAAATTCTGATCACGCCAATTTCATCCTCAGTGTCCAGTATTCATACAGCACTTTGTTTCAAAGTACTTCACAATTTGCCAATTCATTTAAATTCAAATTCAATTAAAAAATACTTTATTATCCAAAGCGATATTCATTTTGCCATGGTATAATATATCAAACAATGTACAATGAATAAAATATTATTAAATTATTAAAAAGAAAAAGTAACACAAAAATTTATGAAACAATTTAAAAGAGAAAATTTTTTTAAATCCTCAAACTCTCCGGACTTGTATAATCTATTATTTTTATATCATTATTTATTTATTATTTTATTATTATTTGTTTATTTTGTTATTATTGCAGATTACATGCATTTACGTAATGTGTTTTTCAATAAATTAGGACTACCGTATCTCTGACAGACTGCACTTGATCTAGAAAAAAAACATCAAGTCAATGATAAAGTAGCTAGTGAGTGCTAAAAACACACATGTCTGTCCACACGTTAATAAGATACCCAATGAAATTACAAATAGCTTTGTTATAATAATCTTATTATTAGGACTCACATTATATAATTAAAATATGTTTTATTGAAATGATTTAGGCAATTTATTAGGTCAATATGTAATATGAAGGTCTCATTGCTGCCCCTCATTGTCAATCCTTCACTTTATTAAATGTATATCTACATCTCAGAAAAACATAGTTTTTTCATTTTTTGCCTAAATCCTATAAATGTTACGGCTTATAATTTAACTTAAATTTAATTATTGTTGATCTCATTTTGTCTATCCCTCAGAGGAATTTTGCTGATGGTTCTAGCTATATGAACTCGGCAAGGATATTAGTGTGGCCAATATTTTGTTGATGAGTTTGGGCTTAGGGGAAGTTTTAAAGGGGTATATTACTTTCATTAGTCCTGTAAAAGAATTCAATAATTGAAATGTGACTAAATCTCACTTCTTTTACTCTACAGAAAATATTGTATGCAAGCAGTTAAACTGGGAGCAAGTTTATGCTTAACAAAACATGCATAAGGTAGGTGATTTTAATCACTGTATTAAATTTGTGAATACACATAAAAGAGAATTGTGTAGCCTATTGCACAATTCACAATCTATATAACAGTAAAAATTATAAGTAATAAAAAGAAAAAAACAAATAATAATTCATTCATCTCATACAACTTCTACTGCTCCATCTAGAATCCTACAGTATTTTAGTTGAAGAATGTCATTTCCCCTTGTCATACAATACATATACATGTAAGACCATGATTAATGCACAAACTCCCCCACTTCCAAGAAGTATTTGTAGTGAAACTTATTACTAAATAGGGCCATATAAACAATGATTCTCATGGGGGATTGTATGCATTTTTTACAGCAGCTAACAAATCACCAAATTAGTCTAAGTTCTGCCTATCATTAATACAGAAGTTTAAAATGGTTATGTTTTTCAGGGAAAAAATTATCTTTAATTAACAGTGGCGATGTTTCTCCACAAGAAAGTCACTCACATTTTGTTAAATTGTATATGAAGCTGTAATACTTTTTTCTTTCTTTCAGCCTATAGTTTTGAATCCAAGATTTACCCTGTCAGATGGATTTAATGTTTGACCTCAACGGTAGACTGTTTAATTTCACTTCTGTGCAGAGAGAATCAATATACATTTCAATAACAGGCTGTGAAGAGAAGTCTAAAAAATTATTCTGGAAATCTGTTCTGTTGGCCACCACAAACAATTAACTAATGATTATGTATGCAATTCATTATATACAATGTCCAGTCAGAAAAATCTAAGCAATGTTATATTGATGATCACAGATTTAATAATTTGTACAAAGGAAGATTATAAGTCTAGTAAAAGGGATATGTGGCATTCACTGAACATACAAATTATTATAGATTCATATTCCTTGAGGAAAGATAAGATTTTAATATTGGATATAGTTACAACTTGTTATTTTAGAAATTGTAAGAATTCAGAATTACCATTTTTTTTTTGTGAATTATGATATATATGAGAGGCATTAGCTCTTGAGATCATAATAAACATTTTCTTATAAGCTGCTAATTTTTTGAATTTTATGTATAGTATTGCATTGTACCTTTTGGGCAAAAAAAAATATAAATATTTAATCCTACATGTCATTGTTTATTTAAAAATATCATTCTCCATAATATGGTTTTCTTCATGCAATAATCATTTCTTATCATCATCATTAAAGCTATTTTATCAACTTTTCTGCCTCTCATTATGTACCATTGACTAATTTCAGTAATCTGTTTAAAATTAAATCCTCAATGTTTGATGCTTAATTTAAGGAACCATTGAGGGAAAATGTGTTTGAACTGTATGAAAACAGTTATTTAATTTCAACAAATATTGTTGGGCCCAATTCCTTTAGTTATAATTTCTCTTGTAAAAAAAATTACTGTATATTTAACTAAAAACTGTTGGCTATAGTGAAATTATTTTTATTCCATGATCGACTGTATTCATAGAAATTATGTGTGTAAGGGTTTCAAATAATAATTTATAAACCTTCTTTATAACATGTTTACTTTCATTTTTTGACATTTATGTGTATATATATGTTACTATGCATATATGATTATGACTATAAAGTTAATTATTTAATTTATTAAAATAATTTTGTGTCAAATTTAGTTATAATTTTTACTGTAAAAAAATTAATCTATATTTAACTAAAAACTGTCGACTATAGTGAAATTATTTTTTTCCACGTTCCACTGTATTCATAGAAATTATGTGTATAAGGGTTTCAAATATATTTGTATAAACCTTTTTTTTAACATTTTTACTTTAATTATTTGACATTCATCTGTATAATACTATGCACATACAATTGTGACTTTTAATATTAATAAATTTGAATCAAAGGTCTAGATAAATTCATTGTTTGTTATTTTATAATTATAGTTAAAGTATATACATGCATACATACATGCATACATATATATACATATATATACAT